AGAGAGAGAGAGAGATAACAAGTAGGCAGAGAGTCAGGCAAAGAGAGAGGGGGAAGCAGGCTCCCTGCTGAGCAGAAAGCCCGATGTGGGGCTCAATCCCAGGACCCTGATATCAACACCTGAGCCAAAGGCAGAGGCTTAACCCATTGAGCCATCCAGGTGCCCCAAGATTTTTCTTGTGTTTTGACACAGGTTTATATTGGTAGAAACTTCCTCTTAGAATCATTTTTGCTGCATCTGGAATTATTCTGACCATTGTGTTTTCATTTCCATTTCTTTCCATATATTTTTCATTTTTCTTTGATTTCTTGGTTGACCCATTCATCATTTAGTAGTATGTTATTTAACCTCCATGTATTTGTGTTCTTTCCAGGTTTTTTCTTGTGGTTGATTTCTAGTTTCATAGCATTGTCATTGGAAAAGATGCCTAATGTGACTTTGGTCTTTTTAATCTGTTGAGACTTGTTTTGTGATCTTTTTTGGAAAATGTCCCATGTGCACTTGAAAAGAATGTGTATTCTACTGTTTTGGGATGGAATGTTCTGAATATATTTGTTAGATCCATTTGGTTCAATGTATCATTCAAAGCTACTGTTTCCTTTTTGATTTTCTTGGATAATCTGTCCATTGATGTAAGTGGGCCATTAAGATACCTTTTTATTGTATTATAATCAATTACTCCCTTTATGTTTGTTATCAGCTGCCTTATGTATTTTGGTGCTCACATGTTGGATCAAAAATACAACTGTTATATCTTCTGTTGAACTCTTCTCTTTATGATTATGTAGTGTCCTTCTTTGTCTTGTTAAAGTCTGTGTTTTAAAGTCTGTTTTGTCTGATATAAGCATTATTACCCTCACTTTCCTTTCACTTTCATTTGCATGATAAATGTTCCATCCTTTCACTTGCAAACTGCATATGTCTTTAAGTCTGAAATGAGTCTCTTCTTGGCAGCACATAAATGGGTGTTGCTTTTTTATCCATTTACCTTATGTCTTTTGGATGGTGCATACAGTCAATTAACTTTCAAAGTCATTATGGATGGGTATGTATTTATTGCTACTTTGTTACTTGTGGTTTTTCTCTCTTCCTCCTCTTACTCTTTTCTCATGAGTTGCTGGCTCTGTGTGTGTGTGTGTGTGTGTGTGTGTGTGTGTGATATTTGTATTCCTTTCCCTTTATTTTTTATTTATTACCAGTTTTTGATTTGTGGTTACCATTAGGCTTGTATATAATAACATCTCATGCATATAGCAGTCTATATTAAGTTGGTGGTTGCTTAAGTTTGAACCCATTCTAAAAACATTACATTTTTTCTCCTCTTCCCTGAACATTTTAGATAGTGTCATACTTTATATCCTTTTATTTTGTGAATTCTTTGCCTGATTTTTATAGCTATAATTAATTTTAGTGCTTTTGTGCTTCCTACTTTTATTACTCTTACTTTCCACTCCTTCCTCCCCAGAGGTTTCCTTTCCACTCAGAGTCCTCTTCAACATTTCTTGAAGGCTGGTTTAGTGGTGATGAATTCCTTTACCTTTTGTCTGAGAAACTCTTTGTCTCTTCCTCTATTCTGAGTGATAGTTTTACTGGATAGGGTATTCTTGGTTGCAGGTTTTGTTTTCTTTCAGCATTTTGAATATATCATGACATGCCTTTTAAGCCTGCAGTGTCTGCTAAAAACAAAACAAAACAAAACTGATAGTCTTATGGAGTTTCCCTTGAATGTGATGTTTTTTTTCTCTCTACTTTCAAAATTCTTTCTTATCACCACATTTTGCCACTTTAATAAGTGTGCATCTTGGTGTGGACCTCCTTGGGTTGATTTTATTGGGAACTCTCTGTGTCTCCTATATCTGGATTTCTGTTCCCTGCCCATATTCTGGACATTTTCACTTATTATTTCAAATATATTTTCTGTCCCCTTTTCTCTCTCTTCTCTTTCTGGGATCCGTATAATGGTCATCTTTTTGTACTTTATCGTGTAATTGAGTTCCCTAAGTCTATTTTCATTTGTTATTATTATTTTTCTCTCTCACATTCTGCTTGATTACTTTCCTTTACTCTGTCCTCAATATTTCTGCTCTGTTCTGCTTCCTCTAGTCTAGTCTTTATTCCAGTGTATTTAAATTTCAGTTATTGAGTTCTTCATTTCTTCATTTTATTTATTTGTTTGTTTGTTTGTTTAACAGAGAGGGCACAAGCAAGGAGAGCAGCAGAGTTCTTCATTTCTGATTGTGTGTGTGTGTGTGTGTGTGTGTGTGTTTTCTATCTTTTTGTGAAGGGTCTCACTAAGACTCTCTTTTTTCAAGTCCAGTGAGTATCTCTTTATGACCATTACTTTAAATTCTCTATCAGGCATGTTACTTGTCTTTGTTTCATTTAGTTCTCTTGCTGTGATTTTTCCCCCTTTTCCTGTCATATTTGTCTCTTCCTTTTGTCTAACTCTCTGTGTCTGTTTCTATGTGTTAGGAAAGTCAGCTATGTCTCCTCTTGAAAGTGGCCATATGAAGAAGAGGTCCTGTGGTGCCTGCAATACAATGTTCCTTGTTCACCATAACCTGGCACTTCAGGCATGTCTTCTATCTTTGTTGCACGTGCCCTGTTTTGCCTTTATCACAGTTGTCTGCAGTGGCTCTCTTTGTCTCAGGGTAAGTGTTTGGTCCCTTTGTTGTTAGGGACCAAGTCTGGGCCGCCTTAGGCTTGAGTTTAATCAGACCAGGTATTTACCAGAGCTGTGGCAGCACCAAACTGCAGGGTGCTCTCCCTGTCTTGTCCCCTGAGAAACTGTCATTGATGGGCAGGTCCTTCAGTCAGACCAGATGTGTGCTCCCCAGCCCACTACTGAATTTTCAGTCAGAATGGTATTTGTGATTATCTTCTTCTTTCCATGGGGCAGGAGTCCCTTTGGAGTGGTTTTGAACTCTGTCAGGTTTGCTTCACTCTGCCAGGCTTGTGGCAGTCCTTTGGATGGTCTCCTGCCAAGGGCATGTTGGAAGGGGCGTGTCCAAGGGGGAATGTGCAGTGGGGCACATAGTGCCAGCAAGGTCTATGCCATTCCACTGAAGGAGGAGACCTGCAGCCACCCTGGGAAAACTGCCCAGTCTGGGATGGAGTGGATGGTCTGTAGAAGACAGGGATCAGGCAAACTTTGTGGAGAGTGTTCATCCTGCACCTGTTCCCACAGTTGTCTGGGTACATAGGCTCTGGGGAAGTGGAGGGAAATGACACCTACCAGCTCTTTCATTCTAGGAGTCTTCAAAAGATCCCTCCCCAGCACATGCTCTGAGATTAGTAAATAAATATTTTTCCTGTATACCCCAGACATTTTTAAAACTGTGTTTCTAATGCTACTTTTCAGTGGGTCTGTTTATAGTACTGTCTAAGGGCAGAGACTAAGGTTCCAGTCACCCTCTGGCTCTCCCAGAGTGGAGTTGCTGAATTTTAAAGTTCCAGATGATAAGCCTCACTGATTGTAAGAACTCACAAAACAGGTTCTGCTGGTTTTCAAAGCCAAATATTATGGGGATTGCTCTTCTCAGTGTGGGTTCCTAATGCCTGTGGTACTTGGTATAGGGTCTGTTCCTCTCTTTTCCTCACTCAAGGTATCCTTCCCACCCATGAACAATCCTGTGGGTCAATTTGGCTCCTGACCTTATCTCTACCTTTTTACCCTCTTTGAGGTGGATTCTTTACATTTTGCTCTGGAGAGTCTATTCTGCCAGTCTTCACTCATTTTCTGGTTTATTAACTCTGATGCGGATGTTTTTTGGGTGTAATCACAGGATGAAGTGACAAGTAGGGGACAAGGATCCTCCTACTCTGCCAACTTCCCCAAAAGCAGTATGTTAATTTAGATTTCATTGTTCTTCACTAGGAAATACTGTGCTATTGGAAATAATGTTTGTTTTGTTGATTAAGATAATTTTGTGGGTTTTTAAATTTTTTAAATTATTTTTATTAACATATTTGCCCCGGGGGTACAGGTTTGTGAATCATCAGGCTTACACACTTTGCAGCACTCACCATATCACATACAGTCCCCAATGTCCATAACCAAACACCCTCTCCATACCCCCACTCCCTCTAGCAACCCTCAGTTTGTTTTGTGAGAGAGGGAAATAAGTCAATCAGAGAAAGACAATTATCATATGATCTCCCTGATAGGAGGAATTTGAGAGGCAGAGTGGGAGGTTTGGGAGGTAGGGGAGGAAAAAATTTTGTGGGTTTTTATTAATCTCATTTTTAAGTATTTATTTTGTGTGGTGTGCGTATGACTCGTGTGTGTGTGTGTGTGTGTGTGTGTGTGTGTAACCCTTTTGGGAAGGATGTAAGATAGTTCATTATTGTTCCAGAAATAAGTATATAATGAGCTGTGTGATTAATAGCTCCATGTTTAGAAAATTAAGGCATAGCAGTGATATTGGCTTACTTTAATCATCCTGTTGGCCAAATAGAAAATGGAAAAAAAATCCTAGGACAGAATCCATTTTTATATTTGCTGTAATCTGACAGAATCCTGTCCTAGGATTTTTTTTCCTCCTAAATATATTGGAATACCCATTAGGATGGGAAGAAGGCTCTTGAGAGAAAGGAAGAAGACAAATACTGCTGAATCTTTTTTAGGAATTGTTATGACCCAAGGCCACTTTTTTTTTTGAACAGAAATCTATAACCTTATTTCTTTGCCTTCATATATGGCAAAGCCCTAAATCACATGACATTTCAGATTATTCTTTACTTAGTGGGGATTAGACCAGAAATACAATAGTATTGTCCATATATTTAAAACACTATCTAATAACAATTCAGGCTTTCTTTCCTTCTTTGTGCTCTTCCCTGCTGGTGTTTCATTGTGTGTAACCTATCTAAAATTCTTGAAGAATTGAAGAAGATTTTTTGTGAAATATAATAAAACCTTGATTAATTGGAAGCTTACTAACCAGAAATATCAATTAACCAGTTTTATTTATTTATTTTTTGCTGTACTCTCCTTTTAGAAGGAAGAGGCAAATGACAAGAAAACAAGCTGTTAACAGGTATTTATGTTTTTTTTTTTTAAATAAACTTCCTGGGAATGTCCTGGAGCCTGTACAGATTCAGCCCAACTTCAGTAATTTTGTTCCCTGTACTGTACTTATTAAGGTACGAAAGTAGAGCCATTTAAAATTTTCAGAGCAAATGTTGAATCTTTCTTTATCCTTAGTTAATAATAAGAAAAATGAAATCCAAATAGCTAATTGGACCCTATCTATCCATTTGTGGGCACTAGTTAATTTGGTATCCACAGTTTCGTTATTGACGGTAACCATTCATATCTATTAACTGGGAATAGATCCTAGGTTCATGCAGTAGAGAGGTAATTTCCACCCACAGGGAACAACTCCTTTCCTGGGAACTAAGGCAGAAGCTAGGGAAAGTCTGCAAAGTTCATGTGGGTCGAGTAAGTGTCACGGACACAAAAAACATGACACCTATGTAAAATAACAAGAAGGTGATTCACTCACTGCATAACTTCGGAGTGCTTAGGAAGGTACATTCACTTTTGCAGGGCAGCACAGGTTATTAAGTGTGCTATAGCAATAAAGGAAAAAACATAGGCCATCTAATTTTGTGGAGTTGTTCTAAGCGTTAGGCATGGATATATTTTGTATGCATGCTAGTAGTTCTAAAATATTCAAAACTATTTTTTTTCTAAAAATACATTTTTTTTAAATTTGGAAGTCTAAGAAGATTTATGCTTGAAACTTCTTAAAATTATCTATGACAAAAATTATCTATGACAATTTTAGTTGAATTGCAATACCATATTGCTCTAGGCTTTATACCTTTTAGGTTGTAATGAGGAAAATAATGGACTAACTCAGAGAAGCAAGGGAAAAGGAGAGCAACCCATGGTAATAAAGTACAAAAGTATATTTGATATTGCTGGCCAATAGTACCCCTCTTCTCTTCCATATACCCTTCTCAGATTAAATCACCCTTTGGTGACTTTTTTCCTATTTACTCAGGGCTGCCCTTGATAATATATTTTATCCATATTTTTCTACAACAAAAATAACATAAGATTATGGAAGAGATGGGGACCACACCATATGAATTTTCAGTGTAGAAACTAAAAACCACCATGATGATGTTTGTAATATCCAGAACATTTCCTATACTAGATATTACTTTTAAATATCATGCACACTAAATAATACCCAAGTGACCTGAAGCAGTGGTTGTGCCTTCTTAAGTGCCAAACTTTCTATTATACTGTAACTTTAGTGCTAGGGGGAGACAAGAACCCATTAGATTTCATTAATGAATGATTATAACTGAAAAAGTTTACATGGTTTGAGTTTTGAGTTTAGGTTTGGGATATTGAAAGTAAATGTTTTTTAAAAAATTTTAAATGAATGCAATTGAATTCAGACATTGGCAATGACTTTCATTTTAATTTGATTTTCCTGGTTAAATGACATACAAATTAATGCAATGTTCTCTTCATTTAATTAATTATAATAGTAGATTATAACTGTATAGATTTATTTTAGATAAATTAGAACACACATTACATGTGTACATATGTATGCAATGAATTTTTATATTTGCTGTAATCTGAGAAAAATCATGAAATGTTCTTAAAAGTATATGCACTGATTCATTCACATAAACTACAGAAAACAGGAGAGTAGCAAACTCTAATGCCTACTGACACAAGGCTGGTAATGTAAATGAAAGGCCATAAGCAACAGGGAGCGGTGGGTGACCTGGAGAGTATGTATTCTTTTTAAAGGTGTCAGCTGTTACTCAGTGTAGCTGATTGCCACCATGTGGGAATGTAGGCCCAATACTGATAAACTCTGAGTTTTTAAGACAAGCCAGTAATGCAGATTTTTATATGAAATTCCCTAATTCTTTTTTCTTTAAGATTTTATTTATTTTTTGACAGAGACACAGGGAGAGAGTGAACACAAGCAGGGGGAGTGGGAAAGGGAGAATCAGGCTTCCTGCTGAGTAGGGTGCCTGACGTGGGGCTCCATTCCAGAACCCTGGGATCATGACCTGAGCCAAAGGCAGAAGCTTAACAACTGAGCCACGCAGGCGCCACGAAATTCCCTAATTCTTAAATGTTGGTTACCAACTCAAAAAGCAAAAACAGAAACAAAAACAACAACAACAACAAAAACAAAACAAAAGAAAAAGAAAGAAACACTATGCAGGCTAAACAAAATCATCTGTGGTCTGGATCTAGCCCATGGGCTGCCAGTTTGCGATCTCTATTATTTTATCTTATTTTATTTATTTTTCCATTTTATTTTATTTCTTTTCTGTGTTCTAGCATGCATTGTTTATGTACCACACCCAGTGCTCCCTGCAGTATGTGTCCTCCGTAGTACCTACACCAGGCTCACCCAATCCCCTGTCCCCTTCTACTCCAAAACCCTCAGTTTGTTTCTCAAAGTCCACAGTCTCTCATGGTTTGTCTCCCTCTCCAATTTCCCCCAACTCACTTCTCCGCTCCATCTCCCAATGTCCTTCATGTTATTCCTTATGCTCCACAAGTAAGTGAAACCATATGATACTTGACTCTCTCTCCTTGACTTATTTCACTCAGCATAATCTCTTCCAGCGATCTCTGTCTTAAATTGTAAGTACTCTAGGAATTGGAATTTAAAAAAAATCACAGTATATTATAAATGTATCCGATGGAAAATTCATGTAAAGTGAATTAAAAATAAGTAGAATGTTTGTAATAATTTTCCTGATACTCAAAATTGTGATTATGTGCTTCATGATTTTTCCTTACTACATGGAAATAGCCAAGATAGTTTTCCCTTAACTTGCTTGGAAAATTAAGATAAAATTATGAATTTTCTGCTTTCCTATTTATCAATGAAATGGAGCATAAAAGATCATTACTGCCATGTCCAAAGAGAGCATTTAAATATAGGTTCTGTCACATAACATAATTAAGACTTCTATTTAAAGCCCAATTCCTGGTGCTTTAATAGGAAAAACGCCATATACATAGCATGTGTTCATTTAATTTTAAGTTGACCTGCCTTTCATCAAATTCCCAATTTCTTCTAGTAAAATTCCTTGATTTTTACAAATGGTTAAAGAAATAAAAGAAATGTAAGTAGTTAACACAACAAAACTTCATTTGAACTTTTGATTGCCATTGGCAAAAATAAAACAAAAGTTTGTCTTCTGAAAATTTTGTTTGAGGTAGCTGTTTGATTGGTCTGAGACTTCACTTGTTTGTCTGTCTTGCCCTGGATCTTAGCACATAATCTGCTGTGCTACAGTGCTTTTAACATTTGTATGCCCCTTTCATTACCGGCAATCCAAAAGTGTATTTGTCTAAAAAGGAAAGAATTAAATTCCAAACTTTCTAGGAAAAAAAAAAAAGAAAGAAAAAAACCACTTCATTGCTTTAAAGGTCCCTACGATCTGCACCATAAATCCTTAGTCTGAGCCTGCATGGCTCAGTTAAACACCTGCCTTCAACTTAGGTCATGATCCCAGGATTCTGGGATTGAACCCCACATGAGGCTCCCTGCTCAGCCGGGAACATGCTTCTCCCTCTTCCTCTGTCTGCTGCTCCTCTTGCTTGTGCTCTCTTTCTGCCAAATAAATAAATAAATCTTTAAAAAAAAGGGTGGTCAGTTAACATTGTCCTTTCTGATGAGAAGAGGACTTTTAAAAGAAGGGAAAAGTGAAAAAAGAAAGAGAAGGAAAAGAATGCACAATCTCAAGTACTAACTTTAAAAAAAAACCTCCCATTGGTCAACAAACTATTCTAGTTGCAGATTTAACACAGACATATATGAAAGATGAGAAATTATTGGACAACTGATCAATATATATGACAATGTGCAAAACAGGTGATGTTTACCTAAATAAAATTTGGGTAGACAGTGCTCCCCTTTTTGGATCACCAGGTAGTTTTGACCACAAGTAATCTGTAGTGTGATAGGGATGAACCATGTTTAAATATACTAATTAATTAAATCTGTTGCCTAAAAACTCTAACAACTGGAAATTCTTAGTTAATTGGTTAGTCCTCGAGGTAGAGAATTTAAGAGATGAATGATTAGTTGATACATTTAACCAGTATAGGCATATAAATAATGTAATTCAGGAAAAATTTTGATCAACAACTGCTATTCTTATTTTTGCCAGAACATAATAATATCTAACATTTTTCAGACATTATATCCCAGGTTATTTAGTTCATTTAATCTTCATAACAACCCTATAAGGTAGATGCTATTATTTTTTTTTAAGATTTTATTTATTTATTTGACAGAGAGAGATCACACGTAGGCAGAGAGGCAGGCAGAGAGAGAGGGGGAAGCAGGCTCCCCACTGAGCAGAGAGCCTGATATGGGGCTCGATCCCAGGACCCTGATATCATGAGCCGAGCCGAAGGCAGAGGCTTAACCCACAGAGCCACCCAAGCGCCCCTAAATGCTATTATTGTGATCCTTATTTTACAGAAGATGGTATTGAAGCACAGAGAAGGTTAAATGACTTATCTGAGGCCACAAAACCTACAAATACCAGAGCCAGCATTTGAATCAAGGCAGTCTGATTACAAAGATCATATACATTAGATCAATAGATTTTATATGGACATATGGACACATGTATGTATGTGTGTGTGTGTGTGTGTGTGTGTGTGTGTGTATTCTGATTTACTGGAAAATGACATTCTTATTCTGAAATCAATTTTGGTAGCATCATTTTGATTGTGTAATAAATTAGCAAGTTTGATTATAAAATAGCTCAAATGGAAAGAGCAAGAAATAAAGAGAGACATTTGTGGACCAATAACGAAGTCTACATTTTGCTACATTACATTTCATTCAGAGCTCATTATTTAAAAAATATGTATCTGTAAAGCATTATTGATATAACTAACACTAATCTCCTTTCTCCTCCACCCTTCATTAGAGTTAACTACTGTTTTAAAATTTGTGTGAATTTTCGCTCTGTGTTTTTTTTATCGTATGTGTATTTATGCACAAACAATATGCAGTGTTAG